ATGAACAACTTATCCCTGACCATCTTGGTATGGTCACCGAGCTGTTTGTGGTGCTTCATGACAGGGTAGAGCCTCTTACGACGGTCCTCTATAGCGGCCGGAAATTGCTCATAGACTCCAAAGCCAGAACCCCTCAGACGATAGGAACTATTTTTCACCAACTGACGATCTTGTTGGTACAGGAATCTTGCAACTATAGGCCTATTTTTACCATGAACATGACGACCAAACCTATGAACGTTGCCGAACTCGATCCTCTGTTCAATACGGAGCTCATGGAAAATGAAATCTCTGATGAGAGACTCGGTATCCTCACTCCTAGATTCTCCAGCAAGGCCAGTGAAAACCAAGTTATTTTTCATAGATCTGCATTGTAAATCTAACACAGTGTCACGAAGGGAGCCCCGTTCTTCAACTACCTTTTCCACCTTATCACTCAGATCAGCAATCATTCGTTCCTGTTTCTCTATCTTGCTACACACCTGTTGTCCTCCTACGCTGGATTTTTCAATCTCATCAAGCTTATTGGCCACAAAATTTACCGACTGTTCAAATTCCTCAGTTTCCTTTTCTACGTCAACAACTCCTCACATCGTCATCAGTGTCCATTTTCGTGACGTACTTCCGGAAAAGTACAGCTCGGACTCAATTATATCGATCGAAATGTCCATGTACACCGTGTCGTCTTTTCCGTATTGCGTATCGGGCATTTCAATATTGTAGTGCAAATTATAGTAACACCTGGTAAACAATAATACACGTGCGTGACAATGATATTTCAACACCCAAAAATCACACGTACTTCAGGATTATATTAAGCTTCCAATTCATAGACATAAACACACTCACGGGAAGACATGTACACTGACATGAGACCAGACGACCTCAATTGATTAAAAGGTCATATATGAAACACATGGAATGCGGACTGATGTGAAGCTCGAGGTCGTTACGATTTTCGCTGTTGAGCGAAACTCGCTCTGTCGATTAAATGGTTTTTACAAATGAAGTTAACTTACACAGTGAAAATAATGTTTTGTAAAATATCAAGATCCCTATGAAAATGCACGTGAGAACGGCATACCATGCGATAGCCTCTGGTCACATATATACCGTGCGTTAGCGGACTGTGGAATGATGTCCAAAGTGTATACGACTGAGAGTAATTTGGTTCCATAAAAGAACTATAAATTGATAATTTAAATATCAAAAGTTTGATTTATTGCCATCATTTTTATTGATAACTGGCATTGATTGTGTAAATGTTATCCCTCTGCAAAAAGTTCCGATTTGTTTCAAGGAAGACAACTCTTACCAGGATCGAAGTGATTATAAAATATAAAATAAATTAACTATAAAGCCATTGTGTATATTTTGTTCAATTTCCCACTCTATATGTATGAATCTTTGTGTCCTCTTTTTGCTTTTAGCTTGTAGATAATCACTTTTATCCGTACAATTTCAATTAAAAACACTTTGTGTAATGTGTTTTTATATTTTCCGATTAATAAAATATGAGTAGGGTTAATTAGCAATGCGTCTTTTCATATTTTTTTTGTTATAATTGTTCCGAACAATGCTACACACACAAAAAACCTAGAAAATATTAAAATTAACATAAAATCAACTCTACATACATGTAGTTGCATAACTATTAAATGAAAGTTTCAACGAATTTTGCTGGTTTTAAATTGCTTAAGTGTGGAGCCTCCTTGATAGGACGTGAAACACAAACAGACCAATGTTTATTACTGGGCATTTCAACATTCGCGAAGGATTCTTGAAAATTCTGAAAAAAAATAAGTCTGTATGATAATGTAAGTTAAAGGAAATTGTAGATTGTTCCATTGAAAATTCACTAGCAGATTACAGTAGGATTCGGAGATTTACTCTGTTAGCTGTTTTGACGAATGACGGTTTGATTAGAGCGAATAGGATGTGGATCTATAACAATGAAGTTATGAAATAGTAGTCTTTTACTTTACTTTAAACATATGTATTGCCAATAAAATTGAACAAGGGTTGGAGTTACAACTTATCACAGCCTTCTCCCGTCATACATTTACAATTACATGTCAACAATGATAATAGGCATAACATGAAGTAGATATTTGTACCTGTGTGGATATTATATATATATATTCACACAGGTACAAATACACAACTTTAAAAAAGCACCGCTCAAAATCTTTTGCTGGATTTGATGAAGTGAAGCACATGTCTAAAAACGAAAGGTCTACCGAAAGATCCGGATTGCCAAACAAAAGAATCTCTAAATTTAAATTTATAACTAAGACATTCAAATTTTGAAACAAAATACGCCTTTAATTGCTAAAAAGTTGACACTCAAAGAAAAAATTAAAGGCATTCTCACATGGATGTCCAGGAAATAGTAGTCGAGTTTAGGTATAGATCTACACCCCCGATACTCCAGGGGTTACGCTCACTGTCGCTCTCCGCTCCCCTGAAATATGTCATAGCAAAATCGAACGCATGTGGGTAGTTGTTTGATTGGTCTCGGTATGATTTTTGGTTTGGTTTGGTTTGGTTTTATTTTGTTTAATGTCCTATTAACAGCTTAGGTCATTTAAGGACGGCTCCCCCTGTGTGCAAGATGCATGCGTGTAGTGTATGTGTGTGTATTTTGGGAGGCTGCGATATGCTCGTGTTTGTCTCCGTGTGATAGCGCGGAACTGATGCCGACTTTATAGTGCTACCTCATTGAAACATACTGCCGAAGACACCCAGCAGGATGCCCCACTCGGTCACATTATACTGACAACGGGCGAACCAGTCGTCCCACTCCTAATTTGCTGAGCGTTAAGCAGGAGTAGAAACTACCATTTTTGAAGACTTTGGTATGTCTCGGCCAGGGGACAGAACCCAAAGCCTTCCTCACAGGGGCGAACGCTCAACAAATGGCCAAAAGTGAGGCATTGTCAAGGGGGTCTCGGGTATGAAACTTGTACCTTGAAGAAAACGGCAGATCGGCAACCCGGCTTCAAAGCTAGTCAGTTACCGTTACGTGACCGCGGGATTCTTTTGTTGTACATCAAAGGATCAAACTAGTTTTCATGTGCTGGAGTATCGAATTAGTTTACAAAACCGCAAACGATATATGCACAACAAACTCACAAAGGAAGGCTTGTCATAACTATACGTGTATAATAAAAATAGTTTTATACACTGTGATATGATACCGTCTTGCTGGTTAGACACGAGTGCAAATAGTTATATGGTGCTTAAATTTAAAACTGAATCATAGGTTTTGTTAACAACAAATACATTCAGATCCCGACCATGAATCATGATTAGTCTGGGAGCGCTGTGTTCTGTTTTGATATTTTACATAATTATTTTGTTACATATTTGATAAGACAAACTGAACATTTCAATAACACTTGTCTTTTATTCATTAAGTACCCCCAATACACTTGTGATTGGTTCCACCGTTGGTTACAAACAAAACTCGGACTTAAGGATCGTTTTACATGTATAACATAATCTTGTTTTGGGTACCATCACAAAGATCGTCTATGGACAGTCCGTTTGGGTGTTTGTCTAGATGATAACCAATAGACGGTCCACATTTGGTGTTCTTTGATGGATAGCATTACACTAAGTTGGACATCGTAGCAATCCTGAGGACCATAGGTGCCAGCTACTTAACAATTAATTGATAAGTTATTTTCGCGCTTATGCGATACAACGCTGTCATGAAATTTATGTATTTTGCTTCTTTACAATGGACAGTCTGTCTCCCGATGAAAGTCGGCCTTGAATTGATCTTTTCGAAAAACATAGCTTATGACGAGATCGACTTTAAACATATTTTTTTTACCAGAAAATAACCGTGCCAATTCTTCAGAACTTTTCGCTAGGTACGTTTGTAGCGCCTCGTCTAGGGACAACATTCAGTACATCTACTTGAGATTCGCTTTTGTTCCTACACCACAGTAGTCGACTGAAAACCTTCCTGTACTCCTGGCTCGACAACACGTACACGAATGGGTTCATCATGGAGTTAGCGTAGCCCAGCCAGAACACTATATCCCAAGCTATTTCCGGTATAACACACGCCGAACACAGGCATCCTGAAATAACAAAGAAAGGAAAAAGTCATTTGGTGTTCTTCTAGGCACAAACAATATTTAGAACAAAAAGGGAATCCGTGATACAATCGGTCCTACAAACATTTAGCAGATGAATCTGAGGTAAAAGAAACTCAACATAGGACTAGTTATTTTTGTCGTGTCGACATTAAGAACAGTTCGTGTCAACAAAGTGGAAGGAATATTTAGGACTAGTGACGTACCAACCATCAAGCTAAGGAACTGATACATGTATGTAAACCCGGAAGGAATATTAAGGACTAGTGACGTACCAACCATCAAGCTAAGGAACTGATACATGCATGTAAACCCGGAAGTAATATTTAGGACTAGTGACGTACCAACCATCAAGCTAAGGAACTGATACATGTATGTAAACCCGGAAGTAATATTACCAAACCTGCAGTGATGCTGTTCGCCTGTTTCGAATTCCTTTCAACAATCAACCACATACCTGTTTAATCAATACGATGCCTAATGATGGATACCAATATTTGTAATTCAAGAAAGATGTAAAGGATTTAATTTGATCAAATTAATTGTGTAAATGGACTACTTGGTACTTTATTACATACACGTATTCATGAATCAATGAGACTGAACGTCGGTTCTTGAAAATATAACGCAGCAAAAACGTCGTTGTAAGTAAACTGGACTACAGACCATTGGGCGGCAATTTCATGCGTGAAATGTGATAACAAACAACTGGAAAGGTTCTGGTTTTAACGTCTTTTAAGTTTTATCTCGTAAATTTATCAATCAATCCATAACAATGTTCTGGATAACTGAAAAGAGACCCTATTACTTCCTACTTACCAAAAGGATACAACACAATAAATGGCATCCAGCAGATGACAAAAATTCCCAAAACTTTCCCAAAGGTTTTTGCAGCACGGACTTCCATTCTAATTTTTGCAACTTTTTTCAAAAGAGCAGCCTGATTCTGACAGTTTGATGTCACAACGCTTATGCGTACATCTTGGGAGGAACCGGAAATAGATGAACTAAAACTTGAGGCACTTACACTGTCTTTATCCTGGTCTTTATTTGGTAGGATTATATTTCTTGAAATGTCAAAAATGTGTTTGCGTGCGACTATGTATATTTTCGTGTACAGACACATGACGACGATTGAAGGAAGGAAAAACCCAAGAACACACGATTCGATGACGTAACTGAAGTGTGTTGTAATTAAACATACAGTTGGGTCATCCGGTGGGGGTTGTCTCCAGCCAAACAGTGGGGGACACGACACGCTCGAGGCTAGCAACCACACCACTATCACCATCACTAAAACCATCCGGTCGGTCATGATGACGTTGTACCGCAAGGGGCGGGTAACTCCGATATAACGGTCGACTGCTAAGGCGCACAACGTGTACAGGGATGACATGCATAGAAGTGAGTCGCCTACAGCATGCACAATACACCATCTCTCTCCGAACGGCCACGATACAATTTCGTTATAGGACGACAGGGGGAGAATAAAAATCCCCAAACCAAGATCTGCTACTGCCAAGTTCATCACGAGGTAACGTGTCGGTCGCCGTGGTTTCGGTAATCTTGGTACTACTAGCAGGACGAAAATGTTGCCAACTATTATAATAATACACATCAGACTTAGAGCGACACCGGGAATAATTATTCGTTCCAAAGAGCCATCGTCTTCTTCTTGATAAATGGCCAGTAATGTTGTATTGCAGCGTTCACTATTATTATCGTTCATTGTCGTAACGATTGTTGATGCGTTCATTGTCACAGTGCCTGCTGTTGCGTCGATAGCCGTAATGATGTTATGAAATGAAACGTAAACACGTTTTATGTCAAACAAACATCGTCAGATGAAACTATCGAGGATGATGATCTATTGATACGTTTGTTCCAAAGCCATCTGTCTAACAATGACGCGCGGTAAACAAGTGACCGACGGCTTACTTTCACGGCAGTCAACTAAACGTAATCCATTTTGAAAATCCCAACAGACCATTGCTCCATTAGCGCAAGTGATCCAATAGATACTGCAGTTCATTAATTTATATTTATCTACTTATCAACAAGGTTGCCGAAGTCATGATTAAGTCCGGAGGACAGTTTACGTACATTTATAATACATTGACCGTTCCTGTTTATTGGAAGTCAAATGTAAATTGTATGGGAAAGTATATGGACAAAATTACGTTTGTTGTGATATACAGAATAATTTGGTTTGGTTTTATTTTTCAGCGTCCTATTAACAGCTAAGGTGATGCCAACTTTATAGTGTAATCTCACTGAAATACCATGGCGAAGGAATCCAGCACAGCATTCCGACCGGTCACATTAAACGGACAATGGGCGAACCAGTTGTTGCCATTACCCTAAATGCCAAACTTTAGGCGGGAAATAACAACTACCATTTTGAAGGACTTTGGTATGTCCCGGCCTGGTAACAGAACCCATTGCCTTCTTCACCTGGGCGAACGCTCAACATTCAAGCCAAAAGTGAGGTGTTGCCAAGCAAGACGTTAGGAGATAAAAGGTTGTTAGAAATAGAAAGAAAGATAAAGATCCCAAATATTGCAATGGGCACAGCAGACTTATTATGGTCGCTTTTGTGTCCCCAAATAGAGGAAACAAAAGCAAATCCCCTTTTCTGCAGGGGTTTCTACATTAGTCGCTTCCTACGATACATGCAGTGGGTAACAGCAGTTGTATTTTTTTCCCCGATTCCCTACCTGCAGGGGTGGTACGGTAGCTTGGGAGTAGGCCTTTAGATTTAAATTCTCCTACTTTTCAAGCCCTACGGCTTGTCCGGTTAATTTGCATACTTGCCACCTATTAGGTGCGCGACTGACTGCAAAGGGTAAAAAAATACCCTTAGCGTGCGTGACCCCTACACCCAGAGGTCACCTATAAAAGGCATGACAACTCGTGCCAGCTCACTTTTATGTCATTCAGGTGAGCGCACAGAATAAGACAGGTTGTTCTGTTTAGCCTTGTAATTGGGCGATAAAAATTCAACAGTGTCGGGTTTGTAACCAATACACTATCATTCAGACGTAACAGAATACGGTACACGAGGCCGTGATGGTTCGTGTGAAACCTGGGCGTAACAGATCCACGGTGAAAGGTAAAAAAATGTCGGTTACCTTCGGTAACGACGAAGAGCCGGTCGATGACAATATCTCGCTTCATCCCGCAGAGGATGAAGCAGACGGCTGTGACGATTTTTTCGTCTCGAATCATAATAGACAGCCTTACGCGGACAGTGTCCCGGAACCGGAAGCACATGTACTTGGTGATGTGCTAAGCGGCGAGGCCCCTTACGCTTATGTAGGTAATGGGGGCGCCGGCATGAAACGAGTGGCTTCGGCGGCTTTAGGAGCCCCAACGCAAGCCGGAGGAGCAAAAAAGTTACGAACTGACGAAATGGCTTCCAGGTTAATGGCGCTAGAGTCTCGTATTGCCTGCCTTTCCCGTGAACGAGGTTCCGGGGATAATTTGGTACAGAACGTACCGGTGGTACCACGTGTTACGATACCAATTTTAGACATGGACCCGATGGGTTCGAGTTTGATATACGGAGATGAAGACTCCGTTTATGACGAATGTGTCCAGGGTACTGTACCCAGCAGCGGGGCTGCGTCCAATGTGGACATGGACGATATATACTCGAATATTTTCCCGGCCTGGTAACAGAACCCATTGCCTTCCTCACCTGGGCGAACGCTCAACATTCAAGCCAAAAGTGAGGTGTTGCCAAGCAAGGCGTTAGGAAATAAAAGGTTGTTTGAAATAGAAAGAAAGATGAAGATCCCAAATATTGCAATGGGCGCAGCAGACTTATTATGGTCGCTTTTGTGTCCCCAAATAGAGGACACAAAAGCAAATCCCCTTTTCTGCAGGGGGTTTCTACATTAGTCGCTTCCTACGATACATGCAGTGGTTAACAGCAGTTGTATTTTTTCCCCCGATTCCCTACCTGCAGGGGTGGTACGGTAGCTTGGGAGTAGGCCTTTAGATTTAAATTCTTCCTTGATGAAGTGGTCGTATTATGTAGATTTATATAGGCGCAACGCTGTCCGTCCATATATAGTAGTAGGGTTAGGTGTTTGGCCACGTAGCCGGTATACATGTAGCTGTGATATTGTTGTTATTTTTTGTTATTGTCTAAGATGGTGCACCGCCTGTTTAATAAATAAAACTTACTTGCACTTTATACTGTTGTCATTGTGTTTACTTGCCATACTCTGAATTCTATATTAATAAATTAAGACCCTGACGGATCAAAGATTACTGAACCTGGGTTTGCGTTCTCCAGTTTGAAGCTACTCCTTTTACATAGCAATCGAATACCAGCCTGCTAAGGTAGCACACCTACTAAAACCTCTTCCATTACTGACCGTTGCTCCATTTCCCTGGCAAGTTTGTGCGAGTGCATAAAGTTTAGTTTTTTTATTAAAATGCTATACATGATTCATACTACTGAAGCGGTCCTTGTGTGTGAGTTACGTCATGTTTATAAGTGTTCATGTTTTGTATTATGTATTTGTAGGTCCTTTTTAAATAATCAAACCATCCGAAAGAACCCATAGCTCATACTTATTGCTGCCGAGAATACATGTTTTTGTGATATAGTTTTACGATTGTTATGCCAAAAACAAATTACCTTGCTTTGTGTGTTTGTTTACCATATTTCAAACGATCATATCGTAAGCCATATCTCTATCATGTATCTGTAGTACCTTGCTTTGTGTGTTTGTTTGCCACATATGGAACATATAGTGGTCTCAAACATCAATGCACATGTCGATCCACTTAACAATTTGTATCCATTTCAACATGGCTTTCGCAAATTTCGTTCATGTAAAACTCAACTTCTCGAATTCATTGATGATATCTCCAGAAACTTTGACGACGTTAGTCATTCTAATCCATTAGTTAAAATAGTATGTCATAGGCAGTCGTAGTAGTAGAAGGTGAGAGTCTGACTCTGAAACTGTCCGTTCCGGTATCCCCCAGGGATCAGTTCTTGGACCATGCTTATTCCTCTTTTTTTTTATAAATGACCTCCCTGTGGAGGGATGGAATAGGCTCCCTCCTGATACTGTATCTAGCCTGACAACAAACTCTTTCAAACCAAGCCTCTACCGTCCCTTTGCAAAAACAAACTAAAATCTTTCTGTCAAAAAACGTTCCTCTTTCAATAGCCGGTTTCAATGTTAGGGCAATTAATTCACCACTCAACAATGTTTCTAGGCTTCTGTTCTGTTGTTTATTACGGAGCAAACTATCAGACAAACACAAATCTAAAAATGACAATTACAAACTATAAAAACACATTAGCACGTACATGCAAACGAAATATAACATTCATTTAATTCAATATTCACTCAATTTAATAATAGTTTTAAATTGCTTTAAGAGAAAATGAATAATTGGAAAATCTACATGTACTAATGTTTAGCAATGTACTTGAGACAGGAATATAGGTAACGTGTAGATATTTTGTATATTTGTGTAGAAGTGACCTCGTGTATTCGTGTTCATGCTATCATTCACCCGGCGTCGTTAGTAATAGACCGGAAGTTTATTTACTTTCGCTACTGTAGGATATTTCCGTAAACGTTATGTTATCTTGTTTCTTATTGGCTAATATATCGGGTATTGTTGGGATAGGGTATAAATAGCCGAGTGCACGTGTGGTTCGGTAGCCAGACGGATGCGTCGCAGGTCAGCTCACTTTTCTTTTTTTTCTCTCTTTTTTTTCTATTCATGTAGGTGTTAGGTCGTAGGGTCCTTTTCTTTCTTAGCGTAGCTTAGATATCAGTGGAATCGAGAAGGGTAGTCAGTAACGTTATACTTATTCAAAACGTAGAGAAGTCATGAGTTGCTATCGTGAGGCAGAGGCAGTGTTATTGTTAGGTGCTGTGTTGTATATTTAAGCATTGAACTGTTTTTGTATGGTATTTATGATCTATTTGAATGACACAGCTTTGCAAGCAAACAACATAATGCGCGCTATAAAAAACCATACAAAAACAGTTCAATACTTATATTTACGTTTTCTCTGCCTCTTATGTTCTTTTTTTACTTATAATTTATATTTAAAATAAAAAAAGCCCGCCTTATCGACAGTCCACACAATTTCGTTCAATAGTTTGAACAGCGTATTGTCGCGTGCTGACAAATACAGTGAACACCGTGAATCCGACCTTGACCTCCACTAGGGAGTTATTTTTGGAAGTTAATTCGAACTTTCTCTTTGCTCATTTTGTGAAGAATCCAGAAGTGAATTTATTTGTTGATTGTATGGGAATCTGACTACAGTCGGTAAATTCTATAACACCCTCGTTATTTGACATGTCGTCAGAACCTCAAGAAAACGGTGGCTGCGAGACGCGTGAAACTGATATCGTTTGAAGTGAGGGATCTTGCGACGGAGCACAAATGTCTGAAATGTTTGTGAGCTGTGACTCATATCAGTAAGTCTGTAACATATGTGTCAGTAGGTCTATAGAATATGTGTATTTCAGACATTTGTAACGAACCCCTGTTGATCAGTGCAGTGTAACAGATAAATTGCATTAGCGTTAAAATTGTTTCCATTGCCGGCATTGGTGATTTCAACCGATGTGCGTTTTGTACGATATTGCAGACCTTGGTCTTGTTTTCGTTGTAATAAAAGTTTTTTTATTTTTTATTTTTTTATTTTGCACATAAAGTTACAAGGACATTGTCAAATCT